GCGAAGTACCACGTGGCAGAGGCCCTCGAGCTGGTCCATGGTGACCTTTGCAGGTCGATCACGCCGATGACGCCGGGCAGGCGCAAGTACTTCATCTTGCTGGTAGATGACTTGCTGTCGGTACATGTGGCTACAGCTTCTGACCAACAAGACCGAGGTGGCGGAAGCGGTCAAGAACTTCAAGGCACGCTTGGAGGCGGAGAGCTACAAGAAGCTGCGCGTGCTGTGGACTGATTGCGGCGGCAAATTCACTTCGGTGGAGTTCGCTGCGTACTGCGCGGATCAGGGCGTGGTGCGACATCACACCGTGCCGTACTCGCCACAGCAGATTGGCATGGTGGAGCGGCGGAACCAGATGGTGGTCGGCATGGCTCGATCCATGATGAAGGCTAAGAAGATGCCGATAGAGTTCTGGGGAGAGGCGGTGACCACTGTTGTATTTATCCTCAACTGCGCGCCCACCAAGGCCCTGAAGGGCAAGAAGCCGTTTGAGGCTTGGCATGGACGCAAGCCGAATGTGTCCTTCCTCAGGACATTTGGCTATGTCGGCCATGTGAAGAACACCAAGCCTCACCTCGGTAAGTTGGAAGACAGGGGCACGCCGATGTTGCTCCTAGGCTACGAGGAGGGCAGCCAGGCCTATCAGCTTTATCATTCCAAGAGAGGCAAGGTGGTGATCTCTAGGGATGTGGTGTTCAATGAGATGGCGGCCTAGGACTAGGAGGGTCCGGGCATGGGGGAAGCTGGCAGCTTGAGCAGCACCTTCGTCGTCGAACACTTAGTCATCCACGGTGGTGGAGACACTGGTGAAGAGGTGCCGACCACCTCAGAAGTGGTGTCGAGCGGTCCAACAGCAATGCCGACCACTCTAGAGGGGGTGTCGAGCACTTCAGCAACAGTGCCGAGCGCTCCAACAGTAGAGCCGACCACTCCAGGAGTGGTGCCGACTGCTCTAGCGGAGGATCCGACCACTCCGACAGTGGTGCCGAGCGGTCCAGCAGCGATGCTGACCACTCCGGTAGAACAGGGAGGCCAGGGGACACCTCCACTCGAGTTCACCTCCCCTCCGAGCGACATCAGTGAGTTCGTGGATGCCTTCCATGATGGCGAGGAGGTGCAGTTCCGCAGGTTGGACAACATTGTCGGCAATGCAGAGGCCTTAGGCCTAGCGAGTCGGCTGCTCGACATCCCAGAGCTGCTCCTTGTTAGTGTTGTGGAGCCACCGACGTTTGTAGTGGCAGAACGCGACACCAATTGGCGATGGACAATGTTGGAAGAGATGAAGGCTATCGAGGACAATGGCACATGGGAGCTGGTAGATCCACCGGTGGGCTGTAGGCCGATCGGCTTGAAGTGGGTCTACAAGGTGAAGCAGGACGAGCGCGGCGCCATTGTCAAGTACAAGGCTCGGCTCGTCACCCGCGGCTTCGTGCAACATGAGGGCATCGGCTTCGAGGAAGACTTTGCTCTGGTGGCACGAATGGAGTCCATTTGCTTGCTGTTGGCCATGGTAGCAGCGAAGGATTGGCGTGTCCACCTCGACGTCAAGTTTGCGTTCCTCAACGGCGAGCTCACGGAGACTGTCTTCGTCAAGCAAACTCCAGGCTTCGCCATCAAGGGTGTTGAGCACAAGGTGCTCAAGCTGCGCAAGGCGCTCTACGGGCGTGGAACGCCAAGCTTGACGCCACCTTGGGTGAGCTTGGGTTCACTCGCTGCGCTATAGAGCACGCGCTCTACACGCGATGACAGGGAAAGGAGGAGCTCGTCATCGGCGTGTACATGGATGACTTAATCGTCACCGGAGCACGAGCAGAGGACATCGACGATTTCAAGTGTGAGATGGCAGCTTGTTTCAAGATGAGCGATCTCGGTGAGCTCTCCTACTACCTCAGCATCGAGGTGAGGCAGGGGAAGTAGAGCATCTCCCTGGGTCAGCGTGCCTACGTAGAGAAGCTGCTGGAGTGCGGTGGCATGGAGTGCAAGCCGTGTGCGACTCCGATGGAGGAGCGGCTGAAGCTGAGCAAGCACAACACTGCTGTGAAGGTGGACGCGACGCGCTACCGGAGCATCGTCGGCGGGCTGCGCTACCTCACTCATACCGACCGGACATTGCATTCATGGTTGGGTACGTCAGTCGATTCATGGAGGACCCGTGTGAAGATCACTGGTCGGCAGTGAAAAGGTTGATGCGCTACGTCAAGGGGATGCTCGATCAAACGATCATCTTTCCCAAGAGTGATGGCAAGGGTGGGTTGTGTCTCACGGTCTTCAGTGAGGCACCCCCAAGGCAAAGGAAGGTGAGACGGAGCTCACTGTCTTCAATGATGCGGACATGGAGAGCGACATTGATGGGCGACGGAGCACCTCCGATGTGTTCGTCTTCTTTGGAGCGGCCCGCATTGCTTGGCAGTCGCTGAAGCAGAAGATCGTGGCGCTGTCGACGTGTGAGGCGGAGTACATCGCAGCGCCCACGGCGGCATGCCAGGCTGTCTGGCTGCATCGGCTGCTGGGCGAGCTGATCAGCGAGGAAGCTCACCCGCCAGCTCTGATGGTGGACAACCAGCCCGTCATCGCCCTCGCCAAGAACCCTATCCTCCACGACCGGAGTAAGCACATTGACATCAAGTTCCACTTCCTCCGGGACTGCATCGATGGAGGGCAGATTGTCATCGAGTTCGTCGAGACCTGCAGACAGCTCGCTGACATCCTCACCAAGTCACTCGGGCGTCTGCGGTTCATGGAGCTGAGGAAGATAATTGGCATGGATGAGGTCAAGGCATCGGGTTAGCAGCAAAATTAGGGGAAGAATTGTAAGACATAATCTGCTGCTTCCTTTTCTCCATTGTTGGAGAATGGTCGGCTCAGCCGACCACTCCCTGTTGTGGGTTGGAGACTGATCGGCACTGTCGACCAGTTCCTGTAGCTATAGCAGTAAGGCAGTAGGCTATAGTAGTAGTGGTTTACTTCAGCCATGTAGAGTGGAGATGGCTGAGCTAAGCTTTGTACCGTAGGAGTAGAAAATTGGTGTACCCTTGTACCTTAGGAGTAGGTAGTTGGTGTACTCTGTACCTTAGGAGCTTACCAACAACTGTGTATCTGATAGAGCTATAGCTATAGTTGTATATATTCTATCCAAAGGAAATATAGCAAATCAGTTCAGTTTGCCACATCCAGAGACATAGCTTTCGGCCAGCGCTGGGCTTGTGTGTGTGAGCTGTTCTCAATATCTTCCTCTACCTCTAGCCATAGTGAGTGAGTGTACTGACAGCCGAGGGAACAACAGTTTACTGATTATTGGAGAATGTCGGGAAGAAAAGTTTCTATATATTCTTCAATGGGGAAAAGAGAGGATTCTTTGACTTATCTTATGAATATTCTTCAATGGGGAAAAGAGAGGATTCTTTGACTTATCTTATGAAAGAATGCAAAAATTTATTCCACCAGTTCACATTTTGATCCTTTGTTGTCAGTCACTCATGAATGGGGAAAAGGTGTTGCAAACAGCAAACTATGTTACCTGCCCAATTCGTGGTCTCATTGCTGCAGAATGACAAATGCATGTAGCTGCAGGTCCGATCATATGAAACATCCTGTTTTCATCGAACCAATTTTCCATCCTGGCTGTTATCAACAGGCAGGTGTCGATTATGGAGAGACTTTCAGTCATGTCATCAAACCAACAACTATCAGAACAGTCCTAAGCATTGCCACTGCCGCTTCTTGGCCAATTCATCAATTGGATGTCAAGAATGTCTTCTTGCTCGGTAATCTCTCTGAAACCGTCTATGCCCAACAACACTCTGGTTTTGTTCATCAAAACCATCCAAAATATGCGTGCAGGATCAACAAATAACTATATGGCCTAAAACAATCCCCAAGAACCTGGTTCCTCCGATTCACCACTTTTGTTCTGACCTTGGGTTTCCAGGCTGCAAAAAGTGACTCCTCTCTATTCATTCTCAAGTCAGGAAACCAAACAGTTTACTTGCTGTTGTATGTTGACGATATCATTCTCACTGCCAACAACACTACCCTGCTCAGTGGTATTATTTCATCCTTCTGTCGTGAGTTCCAATATCAGATCTCGGCACACTTTAACACTTCCTTGGCATTTCAGTTGAACACACTAGTATGGCTAAGCCTAGGCAAAAAACCCGATACCCATTACCCGTACCCGAATTACCCGAACCCAGACCCGAATTACCCGAACTCGAGGTACCCGATCCCAAATTCAGATAGCGATTTTGATTACCCGAAATTAGTTTGGGTAATTCGGGTAATATCCCCTGGTACCCAAACTACCCGAACTACCCAAAGATTTGTTTTTGTCTTTGTATTTATCATGTGTTGTTAGCTGAACCATTTAACTTATCACTTTATTAGAATATAATTCTCTCTATTTGAATGAGTGACTGTAATATATTATTCTCTACAAATTGCTATTTAAATTCTATACAAATTGCTGCTGAAATTATATATAGATCGCTACTGAAATTTAGTGTAGTTTGTTGTTTTCTGTAAATTTGGGTATATCGGGTAATACCCGAACCCGAATTATCGGATACCCGAATTTACGGGTAGTGTTTTTTCGGGGATAATATCGGGTAGCAATTTTTATTACCCGAATTTTGAATTACCCGAATTACCCGACTCGAAAAAATCGGGTAACCCGAACGCCCAGGCTTAAGTATGGCCTATTCTTGTCTCAAGAACAATATGCTGCAGAGTGCAGAAATCCTCGAGCGAGCAAACATACAGGACTGAAATCCATGCTCAACAGCAGTAGACACCATTATCGAAACAAAAAACACCAACAAACAAAAAGTCAAGACCATCTGCTCATTCCGGCTCTCCAGTTTCAGCCCCGACTCACGATAGGGGTATAGCTGGGGCAGTGCAAATACCTCACACTCACTCGTCCGACATTGCTTTTGCCGTGCAACAAGCGTGTCTGTTCATGCATGAATTCTTCGCTATGTCAAGGGCACACTTCATCATGGTCAGCACTCTGCACACATAAAAAGATCAAGTTCAGACTTGACTGCATACTCGGACACAAGAAGATCAAGTTCAGACTTGACTGCATACCCGGCCGGTCGAGTAGGCAGGCAGCGCCCATCAGCGCGGCGTTGCTGCCGAAGCCGACTGTGCGGCACAAGACCAGCGGCGCCAAGAAGGCGAGCACGATCGATGACGCCGAGTGGCCGGGAAGAACATGGGCACGGCCACGGCGAGCAAAAGGCGCGGGCGGGCGGGCGGCACTCGCGCCTCGTCGCCATCCGGCCTTGGCGATGTCCTGGACCTCGGCGTCCAGGTCCGCGTCGGGCCCGCACACCTCGGAGGAGAGGCCTGCACATCCACCCCATGAGAAATTGGTAGCCCGCAGCAGTGATTATGGCAGGTCCGCGTCGGGCCCGGACACCTCGGAGGAGAGGCCTGCACATCCACCCCATGAGAAATTGGTAGCCCGCAGCAGTGATTATGGCTACAATAAAATTTGGTGTATCAGTTTTTGGTACTAAATCAATTAAGAGCTAAAATTTATAGATATGCTGCCCTGATTTTGGCTTGGTATAAACTTTGGAAACCAACAACGGAGAGCCCCTATATATTCTTCCGGCCAGCAAGGTGACGACGACGCAGGTAGCGCAGGCGCCGCAGCCATCGTATCGCATTCCCCTCAAACTTCTCCCACCACGGCAGGCACCACCTACAGCAATGAACGAAATCATCGTCATCGACGAACCTGAAGGAGGGTTTCCGTCGCTCGGCGAGCCCGGCGAACCAGGTCAGCCCGGCGAACCGGGACATTATGGCGGACGCGGCGGTCGTGGCAGGCGCGGCGGCCGTGGGATCGGCCGCCACAGCGGGCACGGTGGTGCTGGCAGGCTTGGCGTTCGTGGCGGACGTGGCGGACGCAGTGGATGCGGTGGACGTGGCGGACGCGGCGGGGACGGAGGGGATGGCGGGCAAGGAGGGCCTGGTGGATACGGAATGCCCGGATTGGGCAGCCCCTCCGGAGGGGCCGGCAGCGAGGGAGGGGTCGGCGGCAAAGGAGAGGACAGCGGCAAAGGAGGTCCCGGCGGCCAAGGAGGTCCCGACGGTCGCGGCGGCCAGGGACCTCCCGGAGGGCGCGGTGGCGCTGGAGGGCCCGCAGGGCCCGACGGTGTGGGAGGACGCGGCGGGTGCGGCGGCGATGGAGGGAACAGCGGGCCCTCCATTTGGAAAAAAAAATTGGATGCATCCTCGATTCACCGTGCCTCCGTACATACGTACCACAGTTGCCATCTATCCGATCAACACGATCTAACCGTGTGTTTAGTAGATTCCCTCAGGCTCCGCATACGGATCGGTAGTTCATTTTCACCGTGCACGGTTAGATTACGTTGATCGAAGAGATGACACATATCCATGGCACGTATGCACGAAGAAGACACCGTTTCCGATTCACACCCGCACCCCCGCAGTGGGTCACTGGGCCAGCGGGGCGGAAGCCACCGACTCCGCAGCACCAGGAGCACCAGCATAAGACATGCTGTGTTATTAGTAAACAAAAAAAATATAATAATTAATAATTAGTATAAGTCACCGTGCCCTACTACTTACTAGTAGAAGCGTAAGTCTCTTTCTCTTTACTATTGAAGCGTAAGTAGATCTGTTTATGTGTGGTCCAGATAGTTTGAAGTTGAACCCTCCAATCGGAACATGCCGCATCTTTTTCTTTTACTTGATCAGTGCATTGTTCACTGCACTGCGTATACACTTTTGGATGTACATTTTTACAGGATGCAAATTTGCAACCAACTAATTTGATCCAAATATCTCTTTCTAATAAAAGTGATCTGCCTGATGAGCCTAAATTTATGTTAACTAATTTGATCCAAATATCTGTTTCCAAGTTCATCTGCATGATGAGTTGGACATAATTTCAAGGGAGTCAGGATGAACTTGCAATCCATTTTGTTTGATCGATGGGTGGCACAGGAGAATGACAGGCCTGCCTTTCAAGGCAAGCCGCTCACAAAACCTTGCATTGGTCATGTCTTGCTCATGTCCACAAATTCCAAATGTTCTATCTGGATTTTTTTCCCAATCTAATGTGAACGAAGGCGTCGAAGTAACACAGAATCAGCTTCTCGAACTCTCAACCAGAGCACAAAGATGCAAAGAAGATTCGCCAGACTCAGTCAGTGGTTTATCCGAACTAATGACCGATTTGTGTTTGAAAGATAGCATAACAACTTAATAACCAAGAATAATATAACTGATCACTACCGGAATCCTTAAATTTGCCGAGTGTATTTCTTCGGGCACTCGGCAAATAAGCTCTTTGTCGTGTGCTGAACTAAAAACACTCGGCAAATAGGGAGTTTGCCGAGTGTAAAAAAAACACTCGGCAAATATATGGTTTGCCGAGTGTAAAAAAATACTCGGCAAAGAAATAAAATCATTTTTTTTGGAAAAGAAGAAGAAAAAAAAATGGGAAAAAAAACTTTGCCGAGTGCTCAGATCTAGAACACTCGGCAAAGAAATAAAATATTTTTTCTGAAAACGAAGGAGAAAAAAAATTAAAAAAAAACTTTGCCGAGTGGTCAGATCTAAAACACTCTGACAAACAAATAAATAATCTTTTTTCTGGAAACTTTGCCGAGTGTCTAGATCGAACACTCGGCAAACAAAAAAATCTCGTCAAATACCCTCCCCTCCCCTCCCGAGGCCCAGCACCCCTCCCCCAGTCCCCACGCGAGCACCCCGCACGCCCCTCCCCTCCCGGACCGTCGCCGCCGGTGGCCGGCCCCCATTCCCTCTCTCGGTGGCGCCTCTCCCTCTCCACTCCGGCCTCCCACTCCCTCTCTCGGTGGCGCCTCTCCTCCCTCCTCGTCGACAACTGTGGATCGGATCCAGTTAGGCGCCACTAGCCGGGCTGAGGCCTAGCAGCGCCTGTTCTGCCAGGCGGGGCTCCTCGTGTCCTGGCGGCTCCAAGGCAGCAGCGCTCAAGCGGATCTACGAGGTGGAGGTACGGCAAGGGCGGATCTGCGAGGAGGTGCGGCGAGGGAGGATCTGCGAGGAGGTCCAGTGGAGGTGGTGCATGAGGGTCGAGCGGGCTCCGTCGATAGGGCCTAGATGCGCTCGAGGGCCAGCCTCCTCCACCTCCGGCGACGCACTTCTTTTTCCTCCTTTCCTCTCTCCCGCGAAGCTCCTATGTTGGTTCCGGCGCAATTCTTGGCGGGGGACCTCTGCCGGCAGCGCCTCTGGCACCGGGGCGGGCGGATCCTTCCTTCCCCCGCCAAGATCTGCTCTCCCCCGTCTGGATCTGCTCCTGTGTCTCCCCTGCGGGGCTCCTCTGCGTGCTCTTCGGAGAGGGGGGTGGCTCAACCGGTGGCGAGCGGATCCACCATCCCTGCCCCCTCCATGCGTTTGAGCCGAAGCGGGTCGGAGGTGGTGCTCTCCGGCTTTCACCGGCGTCGGGGCGGTGGCCCGGTCCACAGCGCACTTCGGGCCTGGTGGGGCCGAGAACGGATGAGGCGGGGGCTGTGCTGGCCCTCCTCAACCTAGCTGGAGGTTGGCTGCAGCCATGGTGCACGTCGATCTCTATCCTTGGACTTCAATTTGATTAGTAACTGCTGCCCTATTGGTGCTCAATGAAATGCTCTGCTTGTGTTCTGTCTTGATGAATGATTATTGGTTTGCATCCACAGGGGTTGATTTCCTTGCTATCCGGATAATTATTTTTTTCTTTGGAAAATAGGTTTGCCGAGTGTATTATGAAAAACACTCGGCAAACCAATTTTTTTTTGCCGAGTGTTAAATTTGACAGTCGGCAAACCAATTTTTTTTTGCCGAGTGTCAAATTTGACACTCGACAAACCATTTGCCGAGTGCGCGATAAAAAACACTCGGCAAATAGTTGTTTGCCGATACACAGATGCCGTGTGTTGTATGCCGAGTGTTACACTCGGCAAAGCAGTTGTCGAGTGTTTTTGGGCCTTTGCCGAGTACCCCTGGCACTCGGCAAAACTGCTGTATCCCGTAGTGGATGCCCTTTTTCTTGAGATCTGCATTGCACAAATAACAATCGATCTTCAGATAATTCCTGGGTATGATAAGTGGATCGTTCAAAAAATGCCCAGGTCTATCTTGAAGCAGGAGGTGAACATAGCGCTTGTGATCCAGATGAGTCACATTCGTTCAGGGAGAAGAAGCTAATGGCGGGAACTCAGATATGCAGTCAAACTGGAATTAGAGTTCTCGTCCTCACAAACTGCTCGAAGTATATCCCATGCTTTTTTTATTCAGGTTGCGATTGCGCAGGTCTTGGAACCCTTGGAGGTTGAAGCTCACGCCCTCCTTTTTTGTGCCAAGCTAGCTGCCGCATTGGATCTTCAGGATACAGCTTTGTTAACTGACAATCAGGTGGTGGCCTCCGCCGTGCTTGCTAGATCGCCACTTTCTCATCCGGGACATTGGTCGCTACGTCCTATTATTGCTGAAATCCAGGACATCAAGCAATCAAAAAGCTATTCAGTGATCAAAATTGGTAGACAAGGAAATAAGATAGCTGATGCTTTGGCAAAAAGGACAAGACGGGCACGCATCCCAACTTCGTGTTTTTCTCTTGCCACGCACTTGCTCATTCTCCAACATGTAATATCGAGCATGTGATAGAAAACTTAGATTGGGATAACATGATCCCCATCTCTGTAACCTGTCTAGATGTAATGAAAGTTTTAAATTTTCAAAAAAAAAATCTCAAACACAAACAAAAGGTCCTTCTCTCTGTTAGTTTCCTACCAGAGATTTTTTTTCTTAGGTGCGATTGAATTTGGGATGACTCTGCTATGACTATTGGGATGACTCTGCTGAGGACTATATATGATTTAATCTGACATGCCACCGACCAAGTATCATTTGGCTTAGCTTGTGAGAAATAGCGAGAACGATTCACTAATTTTGCCTCTGATCTATGCACACAAGACCTGCGTGTTACTAATACTTATCTATGCTGGTTTTGGCTGGGCAGATTTTAGAGCCCAGCCAATCAAGCCCCTAGCAGCCGCCAGCGACGACAGGTTAAAAGTTCTTCAAATGTGAATGGATGTCGTCGACAAGCGCACATAGACGGAGGAAACAGGGATGATTTCGACCATGATTCGTGGAGACAGAACCTCTAAGGTTCGAGGAGGGTCGTGGCTTCCGCCGCCGCCGAGGGTCCAGATCCCCTAGACTCCATGGGTTTTTAAGCCGCGTAAGGATTCTTGTTGCATTTTTCTTCCTCAATTCACCGTACTAAAACCACCGCTAATAATAACAGCGGCTGCTGGCTGTATGGAAATTTACGGTTAATCTATCAACCCACTGTCGTATAATAGTTAGCCGGTTTATAGCCCACATATATGTCTCACTGAACTTCTTTATTCTTATGCATAAGCTATCTGTTATAGCCCGTTTCTCTTCTCTCTTTCTTTCTCTCTCCTCCACATCATCTTACAACTCACTTACAACTCATTATTATACTTGCTCTCGTACAGGACTGGGTAGCAGTCCCGGTTAGGAAACCGCCTCTACTCTCGGTTTCCCAACCGCGACTGTCAATCCGGGACTAAAGGCCCGCCCTTTAGTCCCGGGTCTGCTAACCGGCATTGAATGGGAGCCATTCAGTCCCGTTGCTTAAACCAACCGGGACTGAAGGGGCCTCCAGGCCGAGCCCGAGGATAGGCACCTCCAGACCAACCGAGACTAAATGTTATCTTTTTGTTTTCTTTTCTTTTGCAGTTTCTTTTCATTCAATTTGTTTTCATTTCAAATAGTTTTTATACACGTATTATATACTATACTATTGTATGTCATCCATAAATAAGAACGAAACTAATCAAGTAAGAGCTTATATTACAATAATTTAAAACAAGTCATTACAAACTAGATGTCCAACTTAAAATATTCCATACTAGATGTCCAAGTACATCCCAAAGTTCATGCAAACATAAGTAGCTAGAAATGCCTTGGACTTTCTCGTATTATCAACTCGGTGAAGTGTAGATTGCCGATGTGGTATCCACAAATGTCATTGACGTAATTCAAGGCATTAAATAGTGCACTCTCCCTTGCTTCAAAAGTACGAGCATAGGGTCTACTAACGACGGTTAGCGGTGACTAAGTAGTCGGTGGATCAGATGATCCCCTCTTAGTCGCAAGCAGCTTTTCTAAAATCCTACCGTAGTGCATGTTGGCCATTCATCGATATATTTTCAATCATAAACCAATGCATATATTGTTGGGTTTAGAATGGCTTCAAAGCTGCAACCTGCGCAGGTTAAGTCATAGTCCTCAACCTGTAATTAAGTGTTGGCAGAAAAAATGGATATGAGAACCAAGCTTTCCAATAACAACAAATCTGGATACAAGCTATGAGTTCGACTTCGACTTACCACATTATTCCAGTTGTTTTGAGCCATCCTTGCACAAAAGCTCGCAACATCATGATAAGAGCCCGCATCCATAGGTTGTATCGACACGGAGGAATAAGCATGC